TCCCAGGGGACCCCCAGGGGAGGAGGAAGGTTTTTTGAGGGGGGGGGGGGAAACACCTTGTAGCCACGACCTTGGGGGAACAATAAGGCTGAGGGGGGGCTGCTATTAATAACACCCCCCCCGGTTATTATTCCTGCCGTGCGTCACCTCCTCTTCCTCGCCCGGATGAAGTAAAGGGGGGGACACACATCCAGAATTTAGGGGGGGCACATCCAGATTTTGACAAGGGGACACATCCAAATTGATGGGGGGGAGGAGAAGTTGAGGTCCCCCCCGAATTTGGGGCACAAGGTTCATCAAGCGAAGCTGCACGTGGGACAGGGTGGTGCTTCCTCACCCTCCTCTTCCTCAGCCTCCCCCCCCCCGGGTTTTCCCCAGGGTGCGGGGCAGGATTTGGGCCAGCGAGTGGAAAATGTGAGCGGCGGCGGCGGCGTCCGGCCGGGCGCGGTGCCCCGGCGGCGGCGGGGGGAACCCAGGCGTCCGGGTGCGGGGCCGTGGCGCGGGGAGGCTTCCGGTAACAGGAGAGGGGTGATTGTCCCCTCCCTGGCCACCGCCGGTGACAGAACAGGCAGCTGCCCTTCCGCTTGGTCAGGATGGGGCCCGCTGCCCGGCAGGGCTGAGCACCCGCCCGCTCGGTGCATGTGTGGGGAGCGGGGGCAGAGAACCCACATACTCGGTGCATGCATGGATGGGGTGATGGTGGAGCACGTACACACTCAATGCACGTGTGGAGAGCAGCAGCAGAGGACCCACGTACTCGGTGCCTGCGTGAGGGGCAGTAGCAGAGAACCCACAACTCAGTGCACATGTGAGGGGCAGTAGCAGAGAACCCACGTACTCGGCGCATGCGTGAGGGGCAGTAGCAGAGAACCCACGTACTCGGCGCATGCGTGAGGGGCAGTAGCAGAGAACCCACGTACTCGGTGCATGCCTTGGAGAGCAGTGGCAGAGCACCCACACAGTCCGTGCATGTGTCAGGAGCAATGGCAGAGGACCTGCACGCTCAGTGCATGCGCGTGGGGATGATGGCAGAGCACCCACGCGCTCAGTGCATGCGTGAAGGGCAGCAGCAGAGCACGTACACACTCAATGCACGTGTGGGGAGCAGTAGCAGAGCACCCCCCAGCTCAGTGCACGCATGAGTTCCTCCGTGCCTCAGTTTCCCCCTCCGCACCCCACCTCCCCCCTCCCA